AAGTTTACTCTCCCCCGAAGCCAGCCGCTGCCAGGCCCGCGCTGGTGCTCACGTCCCCTCGGCCCACTCGCTGCCTCCGCGCCGGCCCGGGCCGCGTCCTGTGCCACGGGCGCCGTGCGGGTGCTGTGTGTGAATTGGCAGTTCCTTTGTAAGCTAGCATCTCTGCCCGTTGCCCTCTCTCTGTGTGGCTTCTCGAGAGTTCGCTGATGAATTGTAAACAGCTGCGGAGTGACGGGCCTGCTGCACCAGCCTCTGCAGGCCCGTCTTGGTCCCCGGCTCCTGCCACTGTGTCCACAGGCTGCCGGCGCTCAGTGCGAGGCCGGTGGGGAGGCCCCTTCAGATTAAGCCTTAATCCGACGTTCCATTTGTGAGTCTCAGAGCACGCAAGATGCTAGGCCGAGTGTCAGCTGGCCAGGCCAGGACACTGTCTCGCAGTTCAACTTGTCTTTTCTCCAAAATTACAAAGGGAAACGTTCCGTGACGCGCCTCTCTCCCCGTGTCCGACCCCCCCCCCCCCCCCCCCGTCCTTCCTCTCTCCCTCCCTCCCTCTCTCCTGGCTGTTGCCATCGCTCAGTGGGAACGGACCACAGACTCGGTGTTTCTCTGTGGCAGCCAGTCCGAGGCCCGTTCTGAAAGCCTTCGGGTGGTTTTAATGTCTGGATCCCCCTCCAGCCTGAGACGGACGCCTGGCTGAGGGGGAGAGTGATTTGGGCAGGAATCTGATTGGCTCACGCTCCAAGCTTCCTTCAGGTGCCACCTGCCATCACTTCTGCCTGTGACTCAGTGGATTTCTGTTTTCGTAAAAGCATCGTAAATTTAGACACAAAATGGAGGGGACCCAGCTTGCTCTACAATGTGGACCTACCTCACTACAGTTGGGTGCTATTCACTAAGCCTGTCAAATTAAATGGGAAAAGGCAACCAAGCGTGAGCTGTAAACTCCACACGAAGCTTGAAATCACAGTTTCCGTTTATTTAATAATATTTTTATTTATTTTGTGCCTTTTGTGTTGAATCCCGATGCGCGGAAAACAAGATCCGTATGAAACGAAGCACCTGTGCTCCAGGTGGGCGGGAAGCCGCTGGCCTCGGCCTCAGAGAGAGAGACACCCAGCCAAGCACTCCACACGGGCGTCCCCACCGCCTTCTTGTGGAAAAAAAAGATTATGTCCAAGAGGAAATCTCACATTTTACAAACAAATTCCAAACTCTCCTATGCACACACGTGTGGCTGTCACTTCATTTCCGTGCCAACGACGGGGCGGGCCCAGACCAGCTCACGTCCTCTTGTCGTTGCTTTTCGACGTCCGGCCCTGCTCCCTCTGGCGTGCACGTTCATTTCCTGAGTTTCATCGCCCACCGCAGGCAGGGGTGCTGCTGACCGCGGGCAGGAGTGCCGTTAGGCTGTGGCGGGGAGGCCTGCAGCAGCAGCTGACAGCCCAGGGTTCCAGGGAGGAGCCCGAGGCAGAGGGGATGGGCCACTTTCCACGCTTTTGTATTGGGCAGTTTACAATTCCAGACTTTTCCTACTCTGGCGATCCTTTTTAAGTTAATCCTTGGGAGGTAACACTATTTTGGAGTCTTAAGAATTTGATTTTATACCAATAATAAAAATTCAAGGGAATCGCTCCTGTAGTGCATAGTTTTACTATTGTGAAGAGATCTCTGAATTTGACAAGAGCCAGCATTCCTTAGTGGCAGACTGAGAGCTGAGGGGCTGGGCGGTGTTCTGCTGCAGGGCCTCAGAATCGGGCGATTCTGGCGACCGTGTTTGTGTGAACGCTGGACCGCCCCGCGGGCCGTGTGCGGAGTGAGTCACCCTCTTTGCTGCATGTACGGATGGGCCTGTTGCACTTTCTCGGTAATAATAGCTGCCCTGCAGTGGGCTGGTCCTAACGGGAATTCCTGGGCAGGTGGCGGACTCTATAGGTGCCTCAAGAAAAAGAGCCTGAACGTGCTGCATTTGTTCCCTTAGCTTGTGTGTGCAGCCTTCTGTTCTGCTCCGTTTGTTTAGATTTATGCTTTTCGGACCCCGAGAGACTTTGAGAGAAGCCTGAGAATGACCCTTGTAGGGACACCGTGGCTTTTATTTCTTTTAACTTCACCATCGGGTTCAAAGGTTGCCCACAAGTAGAATCATCCTCTGCCAGCCACACCTGAGAGAGGTGCCGGCGGGCAGCGGCGTTCCGGTCCTTCCCGTTCGCGCTGCGTCGTGGATTGGGTCTCCATGCCATGCAGAGGTTGGGTAACTCGTTGTGTAGGTCAGACTTAACCATCGTGGCATCTCACATGTTTTCAACACAGACAGACCTCACACTGTCGCCACTGAGTGAGTAGCATGACCCCAGAGGAGCTGCTGGCCCCAGGCAGCGGCCTCCGGGGAGCCGGGCTCTGCATCTCCGCCCCTGCTCCCCCCTAACCGAGCGGGTGGGGCGTGGCCTGGATGGACAGAAGCGAAACCGGTGGAGAAAGCTCCAGGCAGAGATGCGGTCGTGTCTAAGCTTAGCTGGGTCCTTTCGAGTTTGTTTTACAGCTTCCTAGGTTAAGTAGTTTGCACTATTTTTGCAATAAATTCATGGAAACCCTAACAGTTATTTGTTTTGTTTCTTATTGTGTGTATATAAACTAATACTAAAAATTTGGCATAGTGTTTTTTCACCTCCTTACATAACCCTTAACATGCACAGAATGCTGTAAATCCGATAAAATATGTGAATGATATTTTATAAAGTTATTTTGTATGGTGTCAATTTTGTTTTGCCTCATAGTATGTCAGCAAAAAATAAAATTCCTTGTATTTACAGCTGCCTCTCCTGAGGGTCTCCATCGCTTGTGTTCACTGGTACCGCCCAGGGCGGTGGCCTGAGGGCCCCAGGGTGGCGGCTGCTGGTCTAGGGCCTCTGGGAGAGTCGGACTCACCCATTCCTTGAACAGAGCTGGGCACTGCCCGGGTGGACTGGAGTCTGGGCTGAGAGCCGCAGGAGCGGACTGGATGGTAGGACAGGTGTCTCTAGGATAAAAGCAAACCATCCCACTGAGCCCCAGACCAAAGCCCTGACTGCATGTCCTGTGAGAACCAAACTTGTCCATGTGCGGGTTCGAGGCTCCTGCTCTGGCGCGGCTGGGTCCGGGGCCTCCCTGGGCTGGTTGACTTCGGTCTGTATAAAGGGGAGGCCAGGGACGGCTGGACTGAGAAGCAAACAGTGGCTGAGGATGCGAGGAAGCAGTGCTACCGCAGGCAGAGGTTTCGTTCCCGGTAAGGCCAGTTTGTAATCGTCAAACCTGGAAACAACCCAAGCCGGACTCGCCCCTTCCCCGGGGCTCGGTGACACAGGTCTCCATGCCCGGAAGCCCTCAGCACACGGGCCTGGGCTGCTGACAATGCAGCCGCAGCCACACTGGGTCCTTCCGTGGCCCCGGGAGACAGGCCAGAAAGCCAGTCTGGGGGCTACTGTGGGTTGGATTTTATTTTTTTAGTCTTTTTTTTATTTATTTCAGAGAGGAAGGGAGAAACCTCACTGATGGGAATGAATCATTGACAAGCTGCCTCCTGCATGCCCCACACTGGGGATCAAGCCCACAACCCAGGCCTGTGCCTTTGACCGGAATCGAACCAGGGACCGACCCTTCATTCTGCATGCCAAACAAGCTGGGGAGCTACTGTGATTTTTGGTTGGACCTATGAAAATGGTTTCTACATTCTTAAATGGTTGAAAAAAAATTTTTTTTTTAAATTTATACCCATGAAAACTATCCAAAATTCAAACGTCAGCATCCAGAAAATTTCCTTGAAATAGAGCCACGCTCATTCCTCAGTACGATCTCAGCCTGCTCATGTACAACGGCAGGGTGAGTAACGGAGCCCACAGAACTGAAGATACAGGGAGGGCTCGCTCAGCGGCTGCCAGGGGAGGGGAAGGAGTGAGGGGCCTTGCAGAGGTTTGGGGGGAGGTGATCAAACTGTTATCGTAATCGCAGGGTTACATGACAGCATGTGTCAAACTCAGAACTACACCAAAAGTGGATTTTAAAATTTATTTTAAAAAATAAACTTTAAAAACAAGAGACAGAAAACATCAGTGGTTGCCTGGGAGTAGGGGAAGGGAGTCCCTCCGAGGGGCATGTGGCTGTGGGGGTGACGGGACTGACTGCTTACACAGCAGACAGACTGAACAAGACTGCTGTTACTGGATGTGAATCTCTCAAAAAAAAAAAAAAAAAAAAAAAGATTAAAAGGACGAGAGCCAGAAAACACAGAGCTTATGGTTTTCTCTTGTGGCTGGTAAATAGTTACTGTAGGTGTAAAGAAGGAACAGTAAATGAGCTATATCTTCCAGATACAACAGATTCTACAGTGTTTAAGAAAAATACGTTCATGCAGAGGTAGTATTTCTTTTTTAAATATATGATTTGACTTAACATTTTCCTCTGGGAATAAAAATGCTAGAAACGCATATTTTAAAATTTCACAAGTCTCAGATAATAAAATAAGTGAGGCATTAGAACAACAGAGGGTTCTAAAATTAGATCTAGAGCATTTTACTGTAAAAATACATGTAACTTGTAATTTAAACTTTTTTATGACTTTACAGTTAAAAATGCTGTATTTAAACAAACATTCAAATTTTCTTGAAATACAAAAATGCCAATGTAACTCACTATCTTATTATTAAGGTAACAAATGTAACTTAACCTACATTGAGCTAGAACCAGACGCAGCTGTCTTACGTGACGCCGCGTCGCAGCTCTGGAACCCGACCGAAGCGAAAGCTAAGCAGACTCGCCGTTGGCGGCCAGGCAGCTCTTGCTTGGTGCCCTCCAGCTGCATTGTGGGCAGAGCTTTGCTCTGGCCGTCTGCGTGCAGGTGCCTCAGGCCCTGCGTCTCAGCCGAGGAGGGCAGAGTCTTGGAAGCCTCTGGAAGGTGAGGAGACTGAGACGCAGTGCGGGGCTAGTCCTGGAGGGCCTCACCAGGCGGACGTGGAAAGCATTTCGTTTGGGGTTTAGGATTCTGCTTCATCACTTTCATCGTTGTTATTCTCCTCCTCCTCTTCTTCCTCCTCCTTCTCCTTAAGCATCTTCAGATACTTACTGGCTAGTATCTTCTTTGGTAAAATATCTTAAAAGCAGAAAACCAGCATCAGCAGTTGCTTCTGGTAGACTACGTACAGCCATGCACATTCCAAAACGTACTACTACCTGCCCCGACCTCCAAAGCAGGTTCCGAAACAAGATGGAACCAGACTGCGTTCTGGGTGGTCCCCTGACCAGTGTGAAAGGTCTGTCTCCATGTCACTGAATGCAAACCACGTGCTTCTGTGTGGATGGCCTGTGAGCAGCTCACCGGGTGCCAGGCTGGCTGGCCCACGCCGCCTGTTCCACAACAGTTACTTTCTATTTCCGGGGCCACGTGACCGACCAGCCAGGGTCTCCCTTCAGCAGCAAGAAGTCCCCGGGGGGGTGGGGGGGTCTGCCACGCTCTCTAGCGGGCCACACGCCCTCCTTGGAGGCTGTTGACCTCACTGTCATTCTAGGTGAGCCACGTTACAGACAGACTCAACGGGCGACACGGTGCCAGGCCACGGCTAACCCTGGCGCCGGAGGAAGCAGCGCGGTGTTTCCCGCAGGGAAGGCAGGGAGGAAGGCTGTGTGTTACCTGCCAGAAACTGGAACGTCTCCGATTCCTCTGCAGCATCGGACAGGTCATGGTAGGTGAGTGCTCTCTTCTCTTTCCCGCTGCCGTGTCTGTAGGAATAGGTGGCTAGATACTGGACAAAGAGTTCCTGACACAAATGAAAAGGTAAAGTGAAAGGGGGCTTTGATTTTAGAACTTAAAATTTGCGTTACGTTCAGTGCGGATGGCTGCAGACTATCTTGGTTTCTCAAATGACGGGAAATGACCGAGGAAAGGAGAGCTATGAGGTCAGAAAGAAACCGAGGATCCAAGTAGGTGGGGAAGCAGGCATTTCCCTAAAGTTTACTTTAGGTTTTCAACTCAGTAAAAACATTTAAAATGAAACAATGAATCGTAAACACGTAATGACCAAGTTCTACAGTAAAAAAAAGAGAGACCATTCAAAAATTGTTTGGCTCAGGAATACTTTGTCTTAGGTGGTTCGCCTATAAATAAAACAGTAAAAAACCGGAAGCTCAGAACAGACCACATTTCCTACCTCGCCCACACACCTTCCCTAAAGCAAGGGCCTGCACTGCACCTCTCTCTCCACCCAGGAGTTAGTGAGGAATCAAGTGCCTGCTGCATAAATGTGTGTATCTTTTTTATAATAAAAAAATATTGATTTCAAAGAGAAAGGGAGAGAGAAACATCAATGATGAGAATCACTGATCGGCTGCCTCCTGCACGCCCCCTACTGGGGATGGAGCCAGCAATCCGGGCACATGCCCTTGATGGAAATCAGCCCGGGACCTTTCAGTCCACAGGCCCGGGCGCTATCCACTGAGCAAACCCGGCCGGAGCTAAACCTTGCTTCCTGAATACTCCCAGGACCAGACTGTCCCGGGAAACAAGCACCCAACGTCCACGCTGAGGGGGCATTTCCCTGCTCTAAGACAGCGAGGTCCGGCACCAAACCCGCAGAAATGCGGGCTTTCCCGCCGCCCCCAGCTCTGGCCCGACACATGCAGGGCCCGGAGGAGCGGAGACCACCAGGGCAGCCCCAGCAGCCGAGGAAGGGGCGGCCCCGCCGCGGCCAGCTCGGACCCCGCAGGCTGCGCAACTCGCGTCCTGCGGTCCCCTGGGGGGGGGGGAGGGAGACCCCAGGCCCCCGGACCCCGTCTGGAAGCCTCGAGCTTCGCGTGGGGAGTCAGGGCCCCAAAACCACGAAGTAGGTCGAGGGCGAGAGAAGGGGGCAGGCTTTGGGGTGCAGCGCGGCGCCGCGCAGGGAAGCACGACTCCGCCCCGCTGACCCCGCGCGGGGGACGACGGGAGGGCTCCCCGCGCGGGGGAAGGCGGGAGCCGCACGGGGTGGGCGGGGCCAGGGCGCGCGGGGGAGCACGGGAGCGGCGCTGAGGGCGGGCCAAGGAGGGCGCGCGGGGGAGCACGGGAGCGGGGCTGGGGGCGGGCCAAGTAGGGCGCGCGAGGGAGCACGGGAGCGGCGCTGGGGGCGGGGCCCAATGAAGGAGGGAGCGCGGGGGCGCGCGCGGCGTGGAGGGGAGTGCGCGCACGCGCGGGCCCACGGAAGGGAAGCTGGCGTCGCGCGTGCCCACGGGAACTGCGCAGCGCGGCCGCTCCCGGCGGCCCCCACCCCCGCCCTTCACTCCTCCCCGCACGGCGCCCGCTCACCGTAGCCTTAGCGGTGAGCACGAGCGCCTCCTGGTTGATGCTGGACACCTCGGGCGAACTCTTCATGATGACCCGGATGCGGGACAGGGGCAGCGACACGAGGCGCTGCTCCCCGCACTTGTCTCTGCCCACGACCAAGTCCGCCATCTTCCTGCCCCTCCCCCGCGGCGGCCGCTGGGACCCGCCGCACGGTGGCCGGCCGACACGGGCGCTGCGAGAGCGACGTCCCGCGGCCCCCTGGGAGTTGTGGTGCGGGGGAGGCGCCACGGCCGGGTTGGGCGGCAGTCCTTCCGGGGAGGGACTACAAGCTCCATGATGCCCCGCGCGTCCCGCGACTGCGCAGAAGGAGCCTGCGGGAGCGCCGCCGGCGGGGGCCCCAACGGCGGCGGGTGAGGCGCTGTCACCGGCGGGGCGGCTGCGGGAGCCCGCGGGAGGGCGGGTGCTGCTCGGGCCGGTGGGCGGGGCAGGAGTTCCGGAGGCGGGAGGAGGCCCCGGTCCGTGTGGCTCAGTAAGTGCGGTGTCTTTTCTGCGGGGACGGGCTGCCGCGTGTGCAAAGGGGAACGCGGCCCTGCAGCCGGCCTCCGGCGGGGAGGCCGGAGAGGACGGCGCCGGCGGGGCGGAGCCGGACGGGAGGAAGGCGGCGCAGTGTCAGTCCGGGAGGAACGGCCGCCGAGGGAGGAAGCCGGCCTGCCGCCCGAGGCCGCGCTTCCCTGGGGAAGACAGCCGCCAAGGCTCCGAGGCAGGAGGCTCCCGCGGCCCGGGCCTGGGGCCGGGGGCCGCCAGGAGGACCGGGGTGTCCCGTGGGCTCTTATTCCCGGAAAAGGGGAGGAGGGGAGGGGTGATGGGGTTTGTCTGGAGTTTCTAAGCCGCCCTCTCCGCCTCTTCGTTGTGAACAGGCCAGGAGGGAGGGTGGAGAGCCAGGCAGGTGGAGAGAGCCACCCGGCGGGCCGGCAGGGCCCCCACTCGCTGACCGCTGTGACCGTGGGTCCCCGCCTCTAGGTCTCCCGGGTGTACACCTATGATCGGGGCATTACCCTCGGGTAGAGCACCTGCGTTAATCCGGAAAGTGAGCCCTGTTTTAAATCTGTAACACGTATACTCATGTGAATAGGGGGTAAAGTTTCTCTTAAGTTTCCTTTTCAAGGCCTGTGCCAAGCCATTGAGGAGGGGACTCACTTGTGCATGGTCAGACCGGCCCACCAGGAGCCAAAGTCTCCTCGCCGATGACTGAGGGCAGCAGCCGAGGTCTGCGGACCCGGGGCTGCAGCAGCTGCATGCCATCCATCCATCCATCCCCCCCCTTACAGTCCTGCCCCTGCCCCTGCCCCTGCCCCTGCCCCTGCCCCTGCCCCTGCCCCTGGCAGGATTTGATGCTTGTAAGCGCCCTGTCTTGGTGGGCCGGCCTTCTCAATAAACGCCTGATATGGTTCATCCCCGCCTTCGTTACTGGACGCAGCACCAGGCAGCCCGAGCTGGGCCCGAGGCTCCTGGTGACACCTACCAGCGAGATGGTTGGGTCACGCGATGACGGTAGTTTCTGAGGCGCTGCCGTGCTGTCTTCGGTGGTGGCTGCGCCGTTCTGATGACATGACCACCAGCAGGGCGAGGGCTCCTCTCCTGCATCCTCGGCAGCACGCACGCCCGTCCTTTGATCGCATTTATTCTGTGGGGCGTGAGGTGACCCTCCAGCGTGTTTACATTCACATTTCAGTAGCAGGATGAGGTTGCCCACAGTTTCACAGCCTCTTGGCCATTTATGTGTCTTTTTTTAGAGAAATGCTACCAAGTCCTTTGCCTGTTTTTGTTTTTTAAAAAAATATATTTTATTTTTTTATTTTTAAAAAATATATTTTATTGATTTTGTACAGAGAGGAAGGGAGAGAGTTAGAAACATCGATGAGAGTCATTGATCAGCTGCCTCTTGCACACCCCCTTACTGGGGATGTGCCCGCAACCAAGGTACATGCCCCTGACCGGAATCGAACCCGGGACCTTTCAGTCCCCAAGCCGACGCTCTATCCATTGAGCCAAACTGGTTTCGGGGAAAAAAAAAAAAAAAAATTTTATTGATTTTCACGGAGAGGAAGGGAGAGAGATAGAAACATCAGTGAGAGAGAAAAACATTGATCAGCTGCCTCCTGCACGCCCCCTACTGGGGATGTGCCCGCAGCCAAGGTCCATGCCCTTGACCGGAATTGAACCTGGGACCCTTGAGTCTGCAGGCTGACACTCTATCCACTGAGCCAAATCAGTGAGGACCCTTTGCCTGTTTTTGAATCAGTAATTTGGTTTTTGAGGTTTTGCTGTAGGAGATCTTCATTCTAGATGACAGCTCCCTCTCCGATCCAGGACCTGCAGGTCCTTCCCCCGGGGATGTGTGCTCTCACGCACCCGATTCAGGGGGGACACAGGCCAGTGCCCCTGTCTCTGTTGTCGCCTCTGCTTTGGAGTTCTGCCCATGGCGTCCTTGCCCAATACGGTGCCCCAGGCTTTCCCTCGCCCTCTCCCAAGAGGCTGTGGCTGCAGCTGAGACTCCTCCTGAGCTCCTCTCTGTCCACAGCGAGTCCATCCTTGCAGGTGGGTGTCAGTTTTCCCGTCTCCACCGCTGGGTGGGCTGGGCACCCTGGTCCGAAGCCCTTCACCACAGGCGCCAGAGGGTGCGTCCCGGCGTGTCCGTCCATCAAGACAAGTGACGTGTCCTCTCCCTTTTCCCAGTGCCAGCAGGAATTGGAAAGCAACTCTCTGGATGGAGAGGTTTAAGGGGTAATTTTAAAATCATTGTATGAAATTGTGTGATGAAATCCATTAAAACAGAGGAAGGCCCCGCCAGCATGGCTCATGGTTGAGCAATGACCTATGAACCAGGAGGTCAGGGTTCAGTTCCCAGTCAGGGCACAGGCCCGGGTTGCAAGCTTGATCCCCAGTGTGGGGTGTGCAGAGGCAGCCGATCCACGATTCTCTCCCGTCACTGATTCTCTCCGCCTCTCCCTCCCTCTCTGACACCGGGAGCGCCCTTCGTGCCAGGGGCCGGAGGCAGAGACCAGCGGCTGGGAGGGCGCTTCCGGGAACCACTGGTGGTCGCCCTCCTCCTCCTCCTCCTCCTCCTCCTCCTCCTCCTCCTCCTCCTCCCCCGCCCCACCACCACCACCACCACCACAAATGTTTTCCTTTTTACCAAAGCAGCACTTTCTGAGTATAAGCCATGAGGAAAGCAGATGTGTAAAAGCAAGAGGAGGTGAAGCCTCGTGCTCACACCCACAGCCTGTCCCTCCCAGCCTGGCCTTTCCTGTGGAGCCTGCCCTGGAGAGGGGCCCCGGAGAGGGGGGCTCTGGTCCCCGGAGAGGGGGGCCCTGGAGAGCGGGGAGCTCTGGAGAGGGGGGCCGTGGGGAGGGGGGGCCCTGGAGAGGGAGCCCGGAGAGCGGGGTGCTCTGGTCCCCGGAGAGGGGGGCCCTGGAGAGCGGGGAGCTCTGGAGAGGGGGGCCGTGGGGAGGGGGGGCCCTGGAGAGGGAGCCCGGAGAGGGGGGCTGTGGGAAGGGAGCCCCAGAGAGGGAGCCCCTGAGAGGGGGGCCGTGGAGAGGGAGCCAGGAGAGGGGGGCTGTGGGGAGGGAGCCCCGAGGGGGGGGCCCTGGAGAGGGGGAGTGCTGTGGGATAGGAGCAGCCGTGAGCTCGGGGCAGGGCTTGCACAGGAGCCAGGTGCCCAGCACCCTGAGCTGATGGCTGAGAGGACAGGCCGCCGTCTGCGCCTGGTCTGGGCCTCACAGGAGAGGCCGGGCCCAGGCCTGTGGGAAGGGCTCAGGGCTGGCTGGGTGTGAGACTTTCCCATCACCGGCGGGCCCACACCCGCAGGCTTCAGGACGGAGCTGTAGTCACAGACTAGAACTGCGCTCCATCCTTCCGTGAGAGGCTCGGAAGTCACTGGGGACCCGGGCCCAGGCCGCTGTGCTGGCCACCGGGCCAGACCCCCCCCTCCCCGCGGCCCTGCTAAGTGTCCCAGCGCCTCTGCCTCTCCCTGCGACCCTGGCTGCACAGTGAAGGCCTTTGTGGGCTCTGATCAGAACTGCCCCTTCCTGGGCGGACCCAGAGCAGGCTGCGGTGGGGCTGCCATGGGGCTGCCCTGGGGCAGGGGCAGGGGCAGGGGCCGGGCCTGTCTGCCCTGCTCCCGCCCCAGGAGAGTGCCATCACGGGGCACCAGGTGCAGACCAGTGCCTCCTCCCCGTGGCCCCCCACCCAGGGCCGCGTGCAGTCAGGCCCCTGGGGAAGGGCAGGAGGCTGCAGGTCAGCTGGCACGAACACGGGTTCGTAATCAGGCTGTGCCCGGTGTAACCCCAGGCCTTTAAAGTGGCAGGGTGTCAGGTTCTGGAGGACAGAAAGCAGAAGGTGTTTGGGGGGGGGGAGGCGGGGAGTCGCGGTTCAATCCCTGGAGCCCCCTTCGCCAGATGGAAGGCGGCCGCACAGCCGTGGGAATACTTCTCTTCGAATACATCCTTATTGGTGTCAGGGAGGGGGGAGAGAGACAGGAACGTCCACGATGAGAGAGAACCACTGACCGGCCGCCCGCCACACCCCCACACCGGGGACCCAGCCCACAACCCGGGCCTGTACCCTGACCCGGAATCAAACCCACAACTTCCCCGTTCACAGGTGACGTCAACTACTGAGCCGCCCCAGCCGGCGTGAATGTTCTTAACACCACTGACCGGCACACCTGGAAGTAGTTATGCCCTAACGATGGCTGAGTCTGCATCTTACAATACTTTACATTTTTATGTGAATGACTCGCAGCTTTAAAGAAAGGGTGAGACAGAACAGCCCCTCTCCTGCTTCCGGGCTGGATAGGTTAGTGAGATGCTGGGGCCACCACAACCCCCCTGAGCCGTGAGGAGCACTGGACACAATGACGGGGCCCCGGGCCCTGTGCGCCCTGAAGTGACCGCTGCCCTGACTTCCGTCCCGGGTGCCCTCAGCGCCGGCGGTCCGGTGCTTGTCCTGCAGCCGAGAGCCGGGCCGGAGCGGTGACCGTCCAGGCTCCTCCGTGGGCGCAGTCCCCGCTGCCTCCGGCCACCCCCTTCTCCACGCGCCGGGCGCCCACGCTGCCCCCTGGGCGTCCTTCCTGGCCCTCCCCGGCCCCTGTGCAGGCGCCCTGCAGC